AATCATTATACAGCTGATTAAAAAGGTAGGTGATTCTTGCCTATTCCTGTCATTCACCAATATTTGACGGGTTTTATGATGTCAACCCGTGGTGTTGATTTGTGCAAACGCAAATTCGAAATGTCAATTTAAGAACAAAAAACGTCCCGTCACACTAAATTGATGCCTTTGGTTTGTGAGAAGCAGCAGGAAGACAAACACAGTTGCTTGGTTTTATGCAAATATCTTGTTCATAAACATGTCCTTTATGGGAATATCATAAAACCTCAAACACTCAACAAATCTCTTCGGAACCCAAATGTTTTTGTGCAAGGCTGAAAAAAAAATGACAGCTGGTTTTTAAGGCAAGAAAAGATTTTGTTATTTCAAATATCTTAAATCAGACATTTATACTCCAAAACTGAGTATCTCCCACTTAATTAAAGGCTGAACCTTTTCAGGTTACATGAAGCCGTTTGTAACAGTGACGCACTTTGTGTGAGCTGTCAAACATTTCTTCAAATAATAAAGTTTCCTATTCTACAGTTTAAACTGAAAAGTTCAAATTTATTCATAGTTGCATTCCTGTGTGGTTGTGTTTTAAAATGTGCTTATCTCACTGTGGAAACTATAATGTGGATGTCAGTCTTACACTGACTGAAATGCTTTTACCACATGAAGAGCTTTGTTTCATTCTGGCATGAATACATTTGGGGATAAAGTAATTGCCTGACGTCTATCATTCAACAGCACTAGAAAAAAGGGAGCTGGTCTGTGAAAATAGCTTCATTTTGCAAAGCAGGGACTCAAAAGTACCTGTTGTCTGTTGGAGAGCCATTGTGATTATTAGTGCTTAAGTCTCTACATGAGCAATCTGTCACCCACAAGAATCATGTAATTTATACATGTGCATGAAAAGCAAGACTAGAATTGTTGAAAACTAGAATTGTATTGTATTTTTCCCTTGGTTCAGTTTAGAGTGTTAGAGCCACTAGATCAGGATTGGCTCCATATGTTAACATATTTTCTTATGTAGCAGATTTTGGCCTATACCTCTATCCAATGATTAATGTTGTTACAGAACTATGGTCAATTATCCTGTAGCATGACAAATGGATTGTCATCAATGGATTTTTGCCATCCCCCTCCCCTCGAACCCACCCTGTGTGGGTTATACTATGTATGAAATGACACTGATGGGCTTATAAGGCAGTTACATGAAAGCCTGGTGTGTCTCATACAGATGCTAGAGGGCGCCTTGTGCGTCACTATCAGACGCCGAGGGGCGTGACAAAGCGTTGGTATTTGACGCCCTGGGAATGAGAACAGGCTGAAATAAGGTATTATATGTATTTCCTTAATGCCTGTTTTATTCTTTAAAGTTTTGTTTTGAATAGTTGTCAAATGTTATCGACTGAGTTGCTTTCATACACAATACCAGGCAAAACTCAATGAAATTGGGTTTGCCTCTATTTATCATAAGACAACATGTATATTGTATTTGGATCCGGTGAGGCAACAGCTGGTTTTTAATAACCTGCCAAACAGTTAACACATAACCACTAACAATCCGGTTGTTTTTTTACTACCCTCTGGCATATTTTTAGCATGTTTCTATATAAGGAACAAACCATAGCAGGCTTTACCGTGATGACCTCATGTGCAGGTTGCAATAAAAACAGCTAAGTGGCTGGCTGGCTGTCACTGTGCAGAATAACAGGTGTCAGAGAGGAGGAAAATAACTAGATTTAGCCTGTCCCGGGGTTAGCAGGCCAGCCTCAAACAGACTTATGAAACATGCTTAGGCAGAGGAAAAGGTGGAGACCTGCATGTAAGCTGTGAAGTTCACTGGTCACCTCGACGTGACTCATGGATTACGATCACAAATACACCTGTGAACATGTATCAGTTTATGTGGAGACACCTGCAGAGGGTAAACAATTGCACTAATAGATATCACCACGACACTTACCCAATTGACTACCTTCATTAAGACAATTTTTATTACAAGTTTTTTAAAATGTTATGTTTAAATATGCAAATTGTCTTATTAAATGTGTGCTAATTTGCATATATTTCCAGAACAGAAATCTTAACATTGGATAAACATTTGTATCACTCCATAAATAGGAAAATACTGTCAACAGTCATAAAAAAGTAAATGTTCTATTATAAAATATTTGTAAAGATAAACAGAGAAGCAGGAGTTTACCTTCAGAAACGCCATGTGAGTAATGTTTGTTCTCCCTGATCATCAGAAATTAATAAACATGCAAAATTTAAACTTAATGTTATTGGCTCTCTGCTTAAAGTCTGTGTAACTATTAATGTCTTCTAAAATGCTAATTTGTGTAATTAGTATTAGAAATGGTCATGTCCAAGAGAGATTACATCTCCCAGCTGGCCTGGGAACGCCTCGGGATCCCCCAGAATGAGCTGGAACATGTTGCCGGTGAGAGGGAGGTCTGGGTCGGCCTGCTTGACCTGCTGCCACCGCGACCCGACCCCGGATAAGCGGTGGAAAATGGATGGATGTCCAAGAGAGATAGAGACTTTTTCCAATACATTTTCATTGCAGCTTAAAAGCAAAACAACTTTATAATATCTTATAACATATAACATCTTTAGAGCTTTATGATGATGGATAAAGATGTTTCTAGTTATTTAATTTCAGTATTAAAACTCAATCATTTGTAAATCAAAAGCACAGTAAATGTCAAAGAGGAAACAATGTCTTCGTCCTACTACCAGTATAGATGTCCAGGGAGAAACGCAGAACGATTGTTCTACTCCCACATGCAGTTGCAGAAAATAGAGCAGATTGCAATGCAGACACAAGACCAGTGTTTTGTGTAGTTCTCGCTTTTTTTATTCGACTGAAAGTGCCGTAACTTTCACACTCTCGTTCTTACTACCACTACCACTCTCCACCTACATGTGAAACCCACAGCTGAATGTGACACATTTAAAGCCTGTCCTGTTACAAAGGAGTTAGTTAGTGCTTCAGAAGTGCAAAAGGCAGATACAGGCGACCGTTAGTTCACACTATGGCTGCACAATATGACAAATGAATAAAATATTAGCACTGAATCACCCTTTTTGTGAGCGCCTGAGTCTGTTTCCGTCTTCCTCCATGGTGTTGGGTAAGAGCTGAACAGAGACGGTCCTCCCAAAATAACACAAGCTTGTGTTTAAGTAATTATAACTGGAGCAAAGGATGAAGTCAGGTGACGTTGTTATGGAGCCACAAAGTCAGTGTAAGAAGGAAATCTGGGTGGATGAATGTTTCGACAAAATATCAGACTTTAACAACGCTGTATTTTTTTGCCCTTTATGACTGAAAGTCAACTGTTCTTATCTTATTTCATTTACACTGGTCTTCTGGTTTTTGTATTCTCAAGTTTAAAGAAACATTGAAACTGTTTGTCATTCAGATGTCTGTTTCGTGTCACCAATGGAAAGTCAATTAGGATTTTTTTTTTTTAGGTGGACACACAATGCAACGAACCTGACTATGCAACAGCCTTTTGGTGGGCAAGTGGGAAGGTGGATGGTTCCAACAAACGGAACTTTGTTCGACCCATCTAAAGTGTTGTTGTTGTTTTGCTGCCTAAACCCAACTGTACAAAGTTATTTAGTTATTTTAAGCCCAACCATGATGTTGTTTTCCTAAACCTTTTGTTGCCTAAACAAACAAAAGTTTTGTAACGCGATATCGTTCTTAAAAAAAGTTGTTCTGAGCGGCACGAAAAAATTCCTTCCACAAGAGAAGGAAGACATGTCGACGCCCAATATCTCAAAAACTAGTCAACTCCCACTCAAACTGTCTTGATTGATAAACAGCACTACATGCAAGAGGAAAAATACATATTTTACATATTGGAGTGAACTGTCCCTTTTTAATAAATATTCTTATACAATTACTGAAGTGAGAGAAACACCAACTGCTGCATAAGTTCACTTAAATCACATCTTTGTCTCGTTGTGAACTGTGACGGCATCATTAGCAGGTCTGTCAAATGGCCAATTGGGTAAGTGGGACTTATCCAGTCCGGATCTTATGCCACGACTGAAGCACTTCAAACTTTATTTAAGTGGGCGTGGTTAAGAACCATGGGGGCGTGGTCAAGGCTAAAATCTCATTCTAATCTTTAATTAAAAGGACTACAGATGCCAAAGTGATTGGAGTGAATTCAAGAACAGGTTGAACCAGCTCTCACTGCCAAATGTGAAATGTGTTTACAGAGTTACAACATGATTGTAAAATAGATAGTATTTGACATTTGGTGATTTTCCAACCTTAAATCCTACTGTTGCTTCTTTTTGGTTTTGGTTTCCTTCTCATGAAACACATCAAAGTCATGGATTGTAACACTTTTCTTCACAGAGCATCTTCAGCTTTCTCCGAAGGGGAGACATTACATGTGAATATGGCAACAACAAAAAAATATATAAATCTATATACAGGTATATATAATAATAGATATCGCCATCAACTTAACAATAGCAATTGTATGTGTTCAAATGGTATGTTTGAAAATGCAAATGAGACCGTATATTATTAAATATGTGCTAATTTGCGTACATTTCCAGAACAGAAATCTGCAGATCAAACAGACAAAGTAGTAAAATAAACAACTAAATGTGTATTTTGGATGTTTTCTTTCCACTAGTCTGAAAGAAGACATGTCATAGACCAAAATCTCAAAATTGACCAGTTCATGAAAGATGTAGTTTTGGCCTGTAGTGACTCATTTGTTGTATTAAGACATATTCACAACTCACACACACAAGTGAAAAAACCTGACACAAAATAGCAGTTATGAGCTGTGGTCTGAGCAAACATACAGTAAAGAGGCGTGTGTGTGTGTGTGTGTGTGTGTGTGTGTGTGTGTGTGTGTGTGTGAGTGTGAAAGAGAGAGAGAGAGAGAGAGAGAGAGAGAGAGAGAGAGAGAGAGAGAGAGAGAGAGAAAATGATCCACCTAAAGCCAATCCTCCTCAAGCTGATCAGTGCGCTGAATGGACTAACCTGCTTGGGGACTTCACACTTGCAGGCAGGTAAGAAACTTTTAAGTTTCTTTCTCACAAAGTTATTTTTTATTTCCTCTAAGCAAACCTCTTTTTAACCTTTTAAACATGTTACACTGTAAATGCTCTTGTTTGAGCTGCACGACAAAGTATAGCTGGAACACAAAGTTAGCTGAACTCTTCAGGCAGTTTGTTTACAGTGATGTAAATAATTATTCTGCAGACCTCAGACTTCAAACCATCAACATGTTTTTCTCTTGTTCAATATTGTAAATATAAGATGTGATTGATTTAGTCATGTAATGCATGTAGGATGTTCTCAAGGGCACAGAATTGACAGTTGACCATAAGCTGTAAGCTTATGTGCTATATGTACATACTGCACATATAGCACAGCAGCAATAATCTCGTTACCTGACAAAAATACTTCTGAACTCACTCTGAAATATAAACCAGCCTTAAAATCAATGAATTTGAAAGTTTTTTGTTTTTTTGTTGAGGACAGAACAGATTGTAGGAAAAAGGTTATTTTGCTTGATTGCATCTGTATTTTTCCTCTGTGGTTCTGCATAAAAGTAATACAATTTGCATTGTTGTTGTTAAACTAAAATAAATATCTAGAACTGCATCTCGTGTCAGTGGATAATAAGCAGCAGGTTTATCTAAAGACTCATCCCAAACTTAACTGAATCACAGAGATGTTGTGTTGTGATATAAAGTTCTGTTCAAAGACTGAAGTCTGGAAATGACAGGGTGCACGTGTTCATCGTCATTCACCCATTTGATGCTTTGACACAAAATTTAGAATAATGCATTAAATCTTTTTAAATCTTTAGATTTGACTTAAGCAATCAGTAAATTGTAGCAGATACAGAAGTGAGTATAATTTGTTCTAAGATTGTTTAGTGTGTGTTTTGGTCCTAGGTGGACGACCCAAATGGGTGCAAACTTTTTCTCTTTTGTTTTTTTGTGTTAATATTTTCAAATGAACCCATCACCTCATCCCCCATATCCCGATGCCACACTTTCAGTCTCGTCTTATATTCGTGTGGCGTTGTGATGAGCTTTACCTCAGGTGCAGCTAAGATCTTGAGGCGTTTGAAACCTTGTCTTCAGCCTTCATGCAATTGCCTTACGCGTTTGATCAGCTGGAGTTCACAAGAACAAAAACATCCCGTTGAATCATATTTAAATTGTATAAGCGAAGACACTCAGATAGACAGTAATGTGGTAGCTGTATCTTATTTGGAAATTCTCTGCTATCATTCCATTAGCATTGGTTTTGTTCAGCATGTCATATTTGTCTTGTAATTAACATCTGTTTGACATATAGGAACTGTTGAAATCAGCCATCATCAAACAGACATGTGATAGAGGGGCTTCTTTTGTTGTGTTGGCCTTTTGCTTCTTTCCCTGTGCATCCTGAGACCTTGGTTGGACTCGTCTCCACTAGACGCAGTGAACAGCTTGCAGGAGCCCAACACAATGTGAGGAGATCCGTCACTGCTCAGATCAGAAATCCACTTTATGACAAGCATGACGCCGGCTCGCAATAACTCACAGACGGCCAGGAATTAAGATAAATGTTGATATTGTTTCAAAGATTGAACAGGGACCCAAACCCTTGGGTGATAGGGAGATAGACAACCCTACGGTGGACACGTATTACCTTCAGGTCATCAGTCAGTGAGTCAAGAGATCCAGGCTGTAAGGGGAGGACGTTTGACTTTTAACTTTGCATTCATGAAATGATGCAGATAAACTTTCTAATTGTGAGCGTGCAGAGGAAACCTTGTTTCTATGTTTTAATGTCTGTTGTATACATTAAGCTGCTTTTACACCCGAAATGTTATTTGTGTTTCGACAGACAAAAGAGAATCCCAACAGCACAGACTATAGTTCTCAATTCCACAGCAAAGTGCCGGTTGTGTTTTGTTGTGTTGTGTTGATGAGTTAAAACGCTTTAAAGATTGAATTAAAGCTGTTGAGAGCATCAAAATGTCTGGTTGATGGTTGTTCGGTTGTCAGAATTGATTCTCTAACAGCGACTCGAGTTCTGCAGAATTCAGATCGGACCGTGTTTCGGTTATCCGAGTGACCGTGTTAACTGGTGACTTTCAGCCGAATGCGTACAGTACGTGGTTGCTCGTAATAACTTACGTAAATGTTTGGCGTAGATATTGAACACGGATGAGTAAGTCTTTCAAATTGAATGGAAGGCTTTTACGAGGACACCTTCATGTACTGGTGGTGTTTTCAACAGCCGCTCTCACGATGAGCAACCACCAGTTAGCCGAAACACCGTCGGCGTCTACGGCTGCGAGCTATTCAACGTGTTGACAACACACTGCTGGCCTGTTTGTTGTTGGATCATCCAGTGACTTAAAGTTTCATAATGTCTCGCTGATGGGATGTTCTCGCTAGGCTTCTCCTCCAATTTCATGTTTATATCCGTCCACTTAATATTGGACCACTTGTTAATGTATCCTACACCAAAGTCGAATTTGTTCAGGTTGCATTCTCTCTTTGGTGGTTAATGTCCTTCCAGAGCTAGACAAGCTATTGCTGCTTTTCCGTTGCCAAACTGCATGTGCACACGTTTTTTTTACAGCTTTTTTGAGTAACAGGTACTTTATTACCTTGAGGGTGGTCCGATTTGTGTTCTGTATACATGTGAAGACGCCAGAATATTACTAAGAATCTTATTTCATACAGCATCTCTACATTGCTATTGGCCTTTTTGTACAATTTAGTGAAATTGGTTCAAACTCGATGAAGCAGAATCCCTATTGTGAACATGAATTATTGGACATTATCACATGACATTGGTTGGTACAGTGGTAATGTTTGAGGTTAGACTTTGTTTCACTCTGTGCTCATTTCATGTAACGTCAGGATGTCATTTATAGATAGATGACCTTTGTCTAGTAGGACTATGGTAAAAAAATCTGAGCATTTGCTCTCACCGTTAGACACCAGCTCTCGTTGTTTTTGGAGACACAAGCTTTTCAGGGTAATGGATGCAGTTTGAAGTGAAGTGAAGTGAACGACTACGCTTTTGGGAAAAATATAAAAGACTAAACCACTGACATCCAAATGTGCTAAAAATTAAAAAGCACAAAGGTGCAGTGCAGCCACTCGGCACATTGGGCACTTAGCGGCTCAAGAGTAGAAGGCTATTGACCCGGACAGCTCGAAACTGTAATTACTTTTAGCTGCGTGGTGCGAGGAATCAGTTACTCGTCTTTGGCCCTTTTCAGTTGATTTTAATTGAGCTGATTCCTGTTTTGCACTGATGGGAAGAGATAATAGATGGATCTTTGTTTCATATCCAGTGTTGGTGTGTGAGTGGCCATATCTGCACACAGTTGTTCCTCCTCACAGTTAAAAGTCATCACAACAAAATCCCATCAAAACTCAGTTCTTACAACAAATCTCTAACAACTAAACACAAGTGAAAGTACTCAGAACTAAAAGTACTCACAATTTAAAGTCCTCTCAAGTGAATGTTTTCTCACAAAAAGATGTCTTCATGAGTCTTTATATAAATATGTTAAACCGTGAAGTAAAAGTCTTCACAGCTAAAAAGTTTGAGAAAGCATTTCATGACAAAAATCATTTGAGTTAAAAGTCCTTTAATTTATAAATGATTCTCTCCAAGAGATACAATGTAAATGTCTGTAAGTGTAGACATCACTGTGACTGCAGCACTCAAATAGTTAGTTTATAATGCAGAGAGATGTACAGACATGAGAGGACATTAACGAGAGTGACGTCACTTTATTTTTAATATAACTGCAATGCCTCAGATGTTCCCATAATGCACTCTGATGCATTTATATTGCATAAAAGACTGAGAAAGAAAGTTTTGACAATCAAACTCATCACATTATACAAGAGCATGCTTTCAGTAATGGTTTTATGCTAATGGAGTCTCATATTGAACTAAAAGGTTTCCAATTAAGATTAAGTTCAAGTTTGATTCAATGTACAGCAGATTTTAAACCAGAAAAGCCTTTTTACTGGTTAAGATGTATGTAAAAATGTAATGTAATGAATTAGAGTGGTGGTAAGAGTTTGCCAAAAATTAAGAACTTTTTCCTTTATGTTTTCTCTTGATGAATATAACGCTTCTCTGGGAAAAACTCTATTATTACTACTATTATTATGAAAGTCTAAATATTTTAAATTTCTCTTGAGGAGGAAATATTGGTGGAGCAGCTGTTTCTGTCATTATTATAAAGTTTGCTTTCATACGTTTTCATTGTTACACATTGTTTCATCACAGAAATCTGAGACCAAGCATCTTCTAACCGTTGCTTTAAGAAACATTTTAGTTGCAGAATTTATTTATCAGAAACAATTTCTACAAAATGCCTCAAATGACTCCTGCGATTTGTTGCATGAAGTAAGGAGGTGACCTCAGGACGTGAACAGGAGGAGGAGGAGGAGGAGGAGCGGCTTTAAGCTGCAGGGAGGGTAAGGCCAGGAGGTGGGACGTGTATCCAGTGAACCTGGATGGCTGATCCGCACAAGGGGCTGGGATAGGCTTGAGAAGCTGAACGTGCTCATGTCCGTAAACTGACCATAAATATTTACACACAACGCTCAACAGCAAGCGGAGATGGAGAGATTTTTTTTTAAAACCATAAAGTTTATTGACATTTTAAAAACAAAGTGTTTATTGATATTAAGAGAAAAAAAATTCACCTTATACCTGAAAAATCCTGAACACTGTAAAATATAAATTTAAAATTCAAATTTGAGCAGGATATTTAAATTGGTATACTGCAGTGACACGTAGGACAACAATGGCTTGACGTTGTGGTCCGAAGGGGGAATGGACCCTGTAGCCAATCCCTTATTAAATAGCATTAAATAGCATTAAATCCAAGCAATCCTATTAGTCTGTCACTCTGGGGAGGAAGAGGTGAAGCAGGGAGACGTGTTCCTGCAGTCTGCTCTGCCTCCGCTGAGGGAAACATAAGCAGATCGACCTGATTTACTGCCCTTCAAGGGCCACTATATGTACACTACATGGCCACTGGTTACAGTGAAAATTACTCAAAAGAAGCATTTGCATTGTTTTATTGTCATCCAGAAAAGACAATTGGAGGAAATGAGAGAAAATAAATAAAAAACTAAAAGTGTAAAATATATCAATATCGTGTGATACGCTATTATTGTGGATTTTATATATATATATATATATATAGTACTGTAGCAACCAAAGGTGCACAACTGCTGAACCGGTCATCGTATTTGTCTCACAAAAAGAGGGAAATAGCAATACTCAACGCCCTTGTGGATGCTCTTTGGGCTCATGTGTGACGCCTCGTGCCTCAGTGAAGTATCATGTCACCTAAATCTCCACTAATGTTGTCTTTAAGTATCAGACAGCGGGGCTCACTGTCAGATTAAGGCCTTTATCTATTGGCTGCACGCCCACCTGTGATCGCCTCATTAAACTGCACTCAGTGAGAAACACCTGAGAAATAGTCCGGCACAGAAGTGCAGCTTGTTGTTTTTAAAAATGTTTGTACAGTTCAAACAAACGACATATAATATTTTGATTGGTAACACCTAGCGGTGCTTGTATTTGGATTTTGTTGCCTCTGAACAGAGTCGGACTAGCTACTTCCCCTTGAATCCAGTCTTCCTGCAGCGCTAAGCTAATGGGTCGCTGGCTGCAGCTTCATATTTTAGTTAACCATGGAATTAGAATAGATGTAGAATGGATATTGAACTGTTTCCATTTGACTAGCACAGAAGAAAATGGCGATTGCTGTTGTTAGGGTGACAACAGGCATCAGTGGGGCCGGACGCGGCTGGCTAGTTAGCTGAGCTAGGTAATGAGTCCTTCTCCAGAGTGGCGGGGAGTGAGGTAGAGGAACCATTAGACCCACCAGCACCCTGTTCTGCTCATTTCCTGTAACCCCTATAGCATTAAAGCATCGTGGAATTAGCAAGCTAGCTAGCTAACTAGCGGACAGCTGGCTAGGTGGCTATTCAGCTGTACTTTAATGCTCATCAGACTCATCAGGCGATAGTGATGTGCTTTCCTACGCTGTGACAAGAGTGTGTGGATGCAGCATTAAGTTGTTATTCTAATTTACGCTTTGTAACATTACTACGTCGATGCTTGTTTTAGTCGTGCAAAACTTCATCTCAGTGAGTCCGCCACTTGCCGTAAGGCGGTTTAGTTTATACAGAAGTTAGCCCTCTACAACGGCCACAATGGCAACGGTACACAAAAAAATGGCTGCCGCTCTGACCATCGTGCTACTTGAAAGGGAATGTCTGTTTTACTCCTGTTGTATTTCTATGTGTTTAACACACAGAAGTGCAAGTGTTTTCAATCCTTCTAACGTTACTCTTGGAGTAACCAAATAAGTCTATTTCTCAAAATGTCAAACTATTGATTTAACTCTGAACATAAACATACATAGTTTACACATATAACCATCGTTGTCATTTTTCCAAGAAGAACGGTGTCACGGAGAGTGCAGTGCCTGAGACTCAGTGGTTTGAACTGGTGATGTAGATAAGGAGCTTAGAAGGAACAGCGTCTTGTGTGTTCCACTTGGCTTTTGCATCTTTCTCTCTGGCTGACCCAACAAGCATTTTGAAGACTCGCCACATGTTGCCACATCTGTTCCCCTCATAAATGTATGCAACAAGCAACCAACAGCAAAAATGTAATATGCAGAATATATTTCTACCAGTTTATGCTGCGTATATTCAGGAAATTTTCATCCATTAGGCAGAATTATGTGATTATGTTCGGAATAGTATGAGGATTGTGAGAAATACACCTTGCAAGCAAGAATTTTAAAAACGAGGATGTGCAAGTGGTCTTGGAAACTTTTTGAACTCACCTATGTACAACTTATAATCTTTCGTTAGCACTGTCGACTTCCTGCTGCCGTCACTGAACTTGTACCGTAGTCTGCTGGCTCAGTGCTGGCAGGAAATGCTGACGGACTGAAGGAGCGATTTAATAATCTCACATGATTTTTTTATGATGCGGATCACCTTTCACGTATGCATTTTCTTCCTGTTGGCTATCTAAACAATATTTAAAACTATTACATCTCTTGAATTCAGTTGTGACCCAGATTGCCTTTGTTTGAATCGCATTATGTCCCTTCACTCTTTGACATCTTGACATTTATTCATCTAACTCGGACAATTTTTGCTTTGTTGTTCTAATATTGCATTGTAACTTATTCATGCTTCAAACTGGAACATTCACTCAATAAATCAATATTATCTATTGATTGGTTTATTTGGTAGGGACAGTGCACATTAATAAAACATTCCTGTAAATGTGCCAGAGTTAGCCAAGAGGCTATTTATGATCTGCTGTCCCAGGACTTTTTGAGATAAAGTCATTCAAAAGTTCCAGTTAGTCATTTATTATCCAATCTATCTCCGTTTTTCTTGACTTCTTGATATCTTTGCTGTCCTACAGGTAAGAGCACACTGGGATCAGATGGGTGGTTAGAAGCCAAAGTTAAAGGGATTACTCTTGGCTGTCGAACACAGGAGGATCATTTGGCTGGCGGCAGTCCAACAACTCCTCCCGGAGACAGCAGGACCTATCAAGCCCAGCTCTCACGGCTTGTTAAATAGCCATGGAGCCGAGAAATCGTGGGTGATACCGCCCGGTTGTCTCGAAGGCAAACAGCTGAGCAGCTGCCTTTGAGTTGGCGCCGTTAAAGGAATTGATGCTGTCTGGGAGGAGATTTCATCTGTGATTTCACTGTTGACATGTGTTGCACCACTACGTCTCAATCCAACGCGTATGACCTCCATTCATGGTGTTCGTCACAACAGAGCTAAGGCCCGGGAGGACGTTGGTCATTTGTCGAGGAATAACTTGGACTCAGGCCAAATATGGCCAGAGACGTCAGTCCTCTGTCTGCAAGACACCAGCAATGGGATGGAGCCTCTCTGGGGTTTGTCCTCTCCTTCTTCCCCCTACGTTCTCTGATTCTCTACTACTTCCTGTCATGTGCAGCATCAGCAACAGGAAGTCTGCCGGGCATTGAATATGACTATGGCAGTAGCCCCAAATTTGTCTGCACCCCAATTCCCCCAGAAGCGGACCCCAGCTGCTACTCCCCGCCCAGTGTGCCCCATGGGCCGAGCAGCACCGGCCACACAAATGGTCCCAACGGCAGCAGCCGGCGAGGCGTGATGTCCGACGAGGCCAAAGCCACCATCTTGCACCTGCGCGAGAGCCTCGTGAGGCAAAAGGAGACCATCCTGGACCAGCGGGAAACCATCAGGGAGCTGACCGCCAAACTCACCTTGTGCGAGGGCTTCGGTGGTCACCATGGCACCGATCACCACAACAACCACCACGAAAACCATCCCGATACTCACCATGACACCCATCATGAAAATCATCACGACGGGCACCCCGATGACCACCGCGGGCATCACGGTGGCCACCATACGCCATCGTCATCGCACCACGGGCCTTCGTCGCATCACGGCAGCGACCACCACTACTCCCATGGCGGCCACAGGTCGGAGCCCCACCCAAGGAAGGGCTCGTCGTATGGAAAACACAGCTCCTTCTCCCCCGAACAGACGGGGAAAACACTGCAGACACTGAAGGAAAGGCTGGAGAACTTGCAGGTGAGTGCCAAAATCTGCAATGTATGCTCAGGGATAAGGCTTCTTTTTGTTACCAGTGGGGATTAACCGCCAAACAACCAAAATTAGCAAAAGGGTAAACATTCCGTAAGAGCTCCTGAAGGAGGTGCTCACTCCTCCTGCCCTACATAAACATCTTGAGGTGCTTAGTAATGCTTCTTGCAAGGAGCAGCTGAACAGTCTGCGGAGGCGGAAGCCTATCAAGGGTTTGACTTAATTGGGGTCATATCCTGCGTCATTCAGGGTCACGAGCTCAGCCGCTGAATCCGCTGCCGGTGCTGTCCACTGCCAAAATACTGTGAGAAGGATGTGTTTCATTAAGACGTTCAGACAGGTCACACTTAGATTACTGTTTGTGTTCACTGCACCAAAAGGGCGTTTTTTTAAAAGGTCACTTTTAGTGGAATATGTAGTTTTTAAATAAACGTTCCAAAGTTGGAGCCTCCGTCTCTCTGCTAGATATCAGTGTCTCAAACAGGAAGCTGCTCTAAATTGTATCAGCCTTCACCCCTGTGTCCAACCTTCACATGTTGGAGTGAGACCAAGGAGGACGAGGGGAAGGTACTATAGCCTCTCTGAGAAATTGTTATCTGTACATTCATTTACTGTGTATTCTTCCTGGTTAATCGCATTGGGAATTAAGGATCTGTTTCCTCTGCTGAAACCAGGCCAAGTGAGTCAACTTTGTGTCCTTTCAAAAGGTTCAAAAAGGTTTTGAACCACTGATCCAGACATTCAGAAACCTTTCCCTTTTTAACTTAAATTTATTTCAGTGTGAGAACATTAAAGCACTAAATCAGTGCTCACTTGGGAATTTTAGTAGCTTCTGTCATTGCTCTCTATGAATGTTTGTCTTTGTGTAAACATCGCACAGGAATACATTCTCTAAATTGTGTTTCAGCACCTGAAACAAGCCACACATGTGGTTCTGCTGTCCCACTTGTGTGGCAGCATTTAATGATGCTGGTGTCACCTTGCGAGACTAAAACCCTTCCGCCCGCCGGCCTGTGAAAGCCTTGATATCAGCGCAGGTGGTCTCAGGTCTTGTTCAGGGAAAGCGTTGCCAGAAATCCCCTCCATCTCCCTCCTAGGTGTGAGACAAAACAGAAGCGCATAGCAGGTATTTACCTTCCGTCACTGCATCCTCTAACAGGATGTCTACACCACCAGCCCCTGGCCACGCGCCGAAAGGTGCAAGCAAGCCTCACCTTCAATTAGCGTCATCCTCCCTGACGGGGCTATTAATCGTAGCATGCGCTGGCAGGGAACAAAGCCGGATTTGCTGGTGAGGAAGACGAGGATGAGCAAGGGAGAGGAGGGAGGGGTGGAAACTATTCCCTTGCAACTTTAAATGTCATTCCACAATTAGTCTATTCACAAATAAATTAAAAACATTGAATTCACTGCAAAGAACTTCTGACTCTTTAGTGATTTTTAAATTGAGTAATTTCTTCTTTTGACACTTCTTGAAGCAAAGAAGTTCATTCTTGACCGTGGAAAGTTTAACAAAACTATCCCTTCTCACGGTGTTTCTTCTCTTTCCCACATCTTCATCAGCAAATTGAGTTCGTTCACTTATTTCAACTTCAGTTTCAAATATTACTGTTAGTGTCATGTTAGCCTACTGAAAACACAGTTTTACCTTTTGCCTTTTACCTTTTGTAAAGCTGCACATTTCTGAGAAAAAAACATCTTATTAAGTTATTCATTACATTACATTACAGTCATTTAGCAGACGCTTTTATCCAAAGCGACTTACAATTCAGAGTCTATCACATTTCTACACCGTAGGCTCAAAACTACGGGAGCAATTTTGGGGTTAAGTGTCTTGCTCAAGGACACATCGACATGCGACTAGCAGAGCCGGAGACAGGGATTGAACCGCCGACCCTCTGATTGAAAGAAGGCCCTGCGATCCACTTAGCCACAGTTGCCCACTTCAGTTTCAGTATTCTTCAGTTTTGTATCTGAAAGGTTTTATTAGTAAAAATGTCATTTCAATTCAAGTTAGGACAGTTATTACATTATTGGGTTTTAGTACATGTCCGATCAGATTAACTGCACATTTTATTTCATTTTCGGGAAATTATTATATTATTGTTGCCAAATAAAAATATGTGCGAAACGAATAGATGGTAATGAGTCTTTTCCTTGCTTGACCGGTAGATATGTAGACTTCTGAAGCCATGTTTTATTTTGTCACATTGGAGTGTTGACAGAGCAGAGCTGGCTCCTCTTTGCTGACTGATGAGTTTGTGCTTTTTCAGGCCAGGAACTCGTCCAGCTCGTACTCCAGCTCCCTGAGAGAACTCCTCCAGCGGAAGATCACCGCCCTGGAGGAGCAGCTGCACAGCTACTACCAAGATCACCGTGACGATCACCACGACGACCACCACGGCAGCAGCCGCCCCGACGATCACCACGACGATCACCACGATGATCACCACGACGATCACCACGATGATCACCACGACGACCACCACGGCGGCAGCAGCCGCCCCGACGACCACCCCGACGACCACCCCGACGACCACGGTGGCACCAGCCACCACGTCGACCACCCAGACGGCCACCACGGCACCGGTCATCGTGGCGGCCACTACAACGACCACCGTGGTTCTGGTCGCCGTGACGACCATCACGACGACCACCGTGGCACCGGTCACCACGACGACCACCATGACAGCTATCACGGCAATCACCACGGCAGCCACAGGAACAACCATCGCAGCAGCGGTCACCACAGTCGCCATCACTACGACTGGCACCACGGCCGTGAGCGCGGTCACCACGGCGACCATCACAGCCCCCACCACGACGATCTCCACGACAATCGCCACGACGATCGCCACGACGACCATCACGACGACCATCACGGACCTGGACACCACGATGACCGCCACGACGAGCGCCGCGACGACCGCCACGACAACGGCCGCGACGACCGCCACGACGATCGCCACGACGATCGCCGCGCCAACGACCACCACGACAGCCGCCACGGTAACGATCACAGCCCACCACGACGGTCGCCTATCGGCGGCAAAGAGACGAGTCTGCGAGGTGCCGCTCACGGCAAGCTGGAAACGGTGCTCGGCCAACTGCACCATGGCAACACTGACCACGGTACGCAAACACACAATGTTTGAGTGACATGACATCATGATTATGTGTTAATCATAATAATAATAATAATAACTAGAAGATTTCGCAGGAAATTTTGACAGTGTGGCTTCTACTGCCCGAAGACGTCGCAATATATATACACACTAATGTTACAGGTAGTATCGTTCAGGTTCAATTGAGATTGCGCTACTCTATTTTCTGCATTTTAGATTCATACTCTTGGATTGAACCTTGTATTCGTGATGGACAGTCCACAAATGGCTCCCGTCATTTCTGTACTGGACATGTACATCTTTGCTTGAGAAGCCTTTGGCGCTCCCATCATATAATCAACGGTGTTGATTGGTGGCCAACTGGTTAATTGGTAACCCATTAACAGGCATGCAGGCTATTCAAAAGATTACAAATTTACTTCCAAGCAAGTTGAGATGGGATGTCTCGCCTTGCTGGAAGAGACTGCAGCCCAACAAACAACTGTTTTCTCCGTGACACAAACGTATTTCCATAAACATTATACAGAGGTGGTGTTAGGCTTAAAAAAGGTACGAAAACTAAGTAAAACATAGGCGAGGCAATTTTATTAAAGGAGCACTATTCAGACAGGGCAATTCAAAGTGCTTTACTGAGGCATGGAAGTATGCTATTATAAGACAAAAAGTGAAACAAAAACAGAAAGGCACAACGAGCAACGTAGCGTTACAGAAAAGGACAGAAAACAAGTCACAAACATGTCTAACGTGACTTCATGATAACTCAACACCGGTCTTGAGGATGAACGTCCTGTATGTGTTCCTGTGTCTGTTTGACCCATCCACCCACCATGGGGTCTTTGCACTACGTCATCACACTCACTGAGCATTTTCTCTGATCATCTAATAATGACGTGGATGGGTTTACGTTGCAGTCACTTGAAAGCCCGGTGTGTCTCCTACGAACGTCAAAGGGTTGTGCATTGGAATCAGATGCCAAGGAGCGTGACAAAGAGTCAGTATTTGACGCCCGGTGAATGAAAAGAAGCTGGGCGTAGATATGAGAAATCTATCAGTTAAACTGCTATAAAACTCTACCTGCAGTTGTTCAATTAAAACCAACCGCTGACAGAAGAACAGTACCAATGAATGACCTGAATCTAAATTCTTCACTCTCCGTCTCACCAGGAAAGAAGCTAAAGACTCCCAGCGCTTTCCTGCTCGACTTCCCCATGAAGACCAACTACATGTACGCCAGGATGAAGCGGTCGCCGCTCAACGAGATCTTCGCCCTGACCATCTGTCTGTGGCTGAAGGCTGGAGCAGGTCCCGGCCTCGGCACTCCCTTCTCCTACGCCGTACCTGGACAAGCCAATGAGCTGGTGCTCATCGAATGGGGCAGCAACCCTATGGAGCTGTTAATCAGCGACAAGGTAGGAGCTGGTCCCTGCTGATTCTCATACAGGACAGACTGTTGCTACTGCATATTAAAATATTACAGACTCAGAACCCTGTATGAAGTTCTTATAGAGGGATTTCCCTGTCAAGCTGCTTTAGGTGACCAGAATCGGTACGTAACACTGTAGTTCTCACACGTCCATGCCCAAGAGTGTTGCTAATCTAGCCCACAGTGAGGTGTGATAGTCACAGCTCAGACCGACAGGACAGCATCACCTCACCAGTGGAGGTCAGAGAAGGAGAGGGCAGGGACTTCTTTTGAGGACAGGGACTTCTGTTCAGGAGCAACAACACCCTTTTGCACTGATGCTGTATATCACAGTGTTAGCTACGACATCACAGCAGAGCCTGTGCATGTAGCTAGGTGCTACAGTAGCTAACGCAACAATTGGTCAGCTTGGGCAGCTTGTGTTTTCTACTCAAAGTATTCTGAAGATGATATTTGTGAAGACAACTAGTAGAGCAGCGTATCCTCATACAACAATCCCTATGATATCGTTTTGTGCATTCTCCTATAAATTTCCAGAAACACAAGCGATCCGTGCGCCAGCTGGCAACAAAACTTGGTTCGGTTTAGGAAAAGATGTACTTCCTTATGTTGTGTTTTGTTAAGTGTGTTTGTTTTACTTGGGCGACTGGTTTTAGTTAAGTACGAAAGTTACGTAACACAAGAAAGGTCAAATGAGTCATTGACAATTTGGTTTCACACTGGACATATACAGCGGTCTTCTGGGTAAAAATGCTTTTATTTGACCCGACCATCCCCCTCGGAGTAGAAGTTACTGTTGTTACTCCGGTTCTTTAAGTACATAAACAGCACTTTTTCACTCCATATCTTTCATAATAAGTAAATGAAAAAATGTAAACACAGTTATTGTGGGGTATAACAATAAATTACAACACATTAGTCTAGTGTTTTATATTATATGTTATATTATTATTCTTATTTTATTTCATGAAAATTCATTTTATTTCATGAAAATTGTGGACATCTCCATTTGAATGACACTTTCTGATGTTATGTCGTACCCTTCTAATCTTTCATTCTCTGAAGAGCTGATACCTTGCTTCCTTGCCCCGGTGCGGGGAGCAGGAAGCTTAACAAACAAATCAACGAAGCAATTAATCTGATTATCCTAATTGATTGGCCTAATTGTCTGTAGGAGTGACATTAAACTGCCATGTTTGCTTTCTTCTCGTCACCGTCACACTTGGCAGTCGTCAACCCGATCGATGACACAGAATGCAGATTAATCTCAGGCTGTGATTCATTTTAAGTGAGTGGAGTGGAGATTGTCATTTTGGACTAATCCACCTTCCCTACAGTTGTGAGCACTTTCATGCAAAGGCTGTTTGAATCCTTTATCCAAAAGGAATTTGTTTCCACGATGTTACAGTGATGCTTGGTAAAGACTACTCCAGAAGGAAGCCGGAGAACATTTCCTGTCTTCCTCCTTTAACGGTATGTCTATCTCTCTCTTTTTAGGCGGTTACATTGCCGATAACCATGACCGATGGGAAGTGGCATCACGTGTGCATGACGTGGACGACACGCGACGGCGTCTGGGAGGCCTACCAGGACGGGGTGAAGAAAGGCTCGGGACAAAACCTGTCAGCGTGGCGCCCCATTGAACCAGGAGGGACCTTCATCCTGGGCCAGGAGCAGGTAAGACATTGATCCAGTATAGAGTTGCCATGCACAGATATTGTAGAAAGCAAAAACTTTTAAAAAACACTCGTGTTCGATGTAAAAATCGTTGCCGTTCCGACTCCATCCGTGATTCCTTTTTGATTTTGACCTGTTCTCCTCTGGTCCTCACAGGACACGATGGGAGGCCGCTTCGACGTCACCCAGTCCTTCATGGGAGAATTGTCTGATCTCCAGTTCTGGTCCAGGGTCCTGACGGCCAACGAGATCTACAGCCAGGCGACCTGCGGCGGCCACCTCATCGGCGATGTCATGTCCTGGTCCGAGGAGTCAGTGGAGCTCCACGGGGGGCTCACGGATGTTCCCTTTGACCCCTGCCACCACTAAGGACTAAGGACACTGGACCCCGGCACCTAGAGCCGTAGCATCATCATGCCCACATTTCCAATGCCCCTGTCAGAAAATAGTTGGAGAGTGGGATATTGTGTCAAGGATCAAAGATGGGGGGAATGATTTATTTCATTGCTTGCTCTGGTTGCAAGCTCGGCCATGGGCAACAGGCTGAGCAGGAGCAGTCATTCTGCTTTTTGCTATTATTATTTTTCTTTCTGCCTTCTCCACCTACACCCTCACTTTTTCGCTCCGCTGCTCTCAGCAGGACGACTCTGAAGGCTTCAACGAGCGCGCGGCTTTGGATTTACCGGCCGTGCGGTCATGGCTACAGCCTGCTTCTGAGGGATCTAGCACACATAAGAGGATTTCATTCCATCATAACAGCTCCAAAGGTTACTTGTTGCCATCAGCTCGCCTGCACTCGCTTGCTTTTGTTTGGTACGTGAGCAGCATTGACTTTACAGGAGGTGAAAGAGAAGCCACAGTGGGACCCAAACCGTGATGTTCATACATGTTGGACTGAAAATCTGCTCGTTGTTTAGTAGGAATAATGCTGTTTCAGGACCTTTTTTACAATTTAGGTAAAATGTGGTGCAATCTACTGATGTTAATTTTGCACATTGAGATTTTGGCGGACTGTTTCCTACTAGTATTTCATATTGAAAACTCCTCTTTTTTTGTAGAAAGAAAACAGAATTTGATTTTGTGGCACTCAGGAAAAAACAATAATCCGTGTGTTATGTGTTCTTTATAACCGAAATGTTGCATTTTTTTCAATGCAGGACTGAGTAAGAAAAAAAAGTTAAAAAATCAGTTTCTCAGCTCAGAAGTTGGCCGTTACACAAGCTCAATGTCGGACCTGACACGTTACGCCTCCGGGTCACCTGACGGCATGGATACAGTGTCCATCATCATCTTGTCACCGTGGTAATGCTGACGTGTCCTTTGGCAACCTTTGGCTTACAGCAGGATTTACCTGCGGACTGCTGATCTGATCCTGCCTATTTCCAACCAGCTCAAACCACATTACAGAGTCAAACACACACTCACATACACACACACTCACACACACACTCACACTCACACACACACACAGACGCTCAGAGAAGATGAAAAGGTGAACAGAGACATTGTTGATCTCTGCTTGTAGCTGCACCTTTACGTTTTTATAAAGATAAGAGGTTTTTGTACATGTACATTCTACCAGATAGTGTGCTTTTTCAAAATGAAAACGTGTATTGTTACATTTGTAAATAAGTAAATAAGTACATAACCATAGAGTTAACGTTGGGTTGAGAGAGTGCTGTTTGTAAAGCACAGTTTTGGGAGTAAACTGCTGATTAGTATTTGCTCATTATTACCCTCTCTGACTTAAACTCAGAGAGGATGAGCTCTCTTTATTGATTGTATAAAAAATAAAAATAAGGGGTATCTGCTGTTGCCGTGGTAACAGGATCTCTCAGCATCAGGACCACGTCATTGCACTACAGCTGTAAATATCTGCGAAATGTTTCTTCGACTGCAATGCCAAGACGAGCAGCACTTTAAGAACCACGCTGCTGCTTCTCCTCTCATGATAGTCGGCCAAATGCACGTTTGTTTCTTTTTTGTTGCTTCTGTCTGTCGCTCCATAGACGTCGTGTTTGTACACCTCCTCCTCCTCCTCCTCCTCCGACCGCACTGTGTAGCCTGTGAGCAGGATGTCGACAAACGGCATGTAAAAAATAAGATATACAACTACAAGACTTGCTTATTCTCGCCTTTGGTGTACACTTTGATGTCTAGGTTTGTTCTTCATGCTTTGGCAGTAAATATTCACAGTACCGCAGTGTGTTCAGTCAACAGTCCCTCCCTCATTGTTTAAGCCAAAACTATAAACTGAATTGTAAAACTTGAAAGAGGCAAAAAAATGCTCCGTAAACGTTGTCAAATATTTGTAAAGATGTCAGGATTTTGAATAAAACTATTGAAAGAATTGTATTGTCTCTATTACATTCATGAATTACATTTTAAAACATCTTTTCCAGAAATGAAGAACAAGTTTCTACAACTGTGCATCCTCTGCTGAACTCTTCCGGCTCGTTATCAGACCAGCTGTGCTTTGCATACGGCGTCAGAGGAGCCGCTATGTCCATATTTAACTCCACATTAGGAAGACCGGGCTGCTCTTTGGTTCCTGCTTTTTAGGAAAGACGGTTTTAGGTGTTAAAACAACACCAGAGAAGCAGGAGTAGTTATGCATTAATGCAATTACTGAAACAGAAGCTTCATGCCTGCTGGGACGGTGCTGGATGAAGCCATGGGAGTGAAGAACGGATCGGACGAACAGCAGGAAACAGACAAAAGTGATTTCCCTTTTCTTTCTTTCTTTTTTTTTGCACATGCATGTATTTAAACTTCAAATGTTTGTCATTTTCAGAAACCATTTTAACAAGTTGGTCTCCATAAATCATGATCTAAAAAGGCTTTTCACTTTACACAGATCGAGTGCAGCAAGTGGGTTTTTGAAGCACTTGCAATTTCCGTGTTTTATATTTTACGTTGTTTCACTTGAAAACCAATTACTTGCATAGACTGTGTTAAGTATTTAGTAGAATACTGTACCTCATTATTACATTAGCTGATGAGCTCTTAATGAGCTGCTCTTTCTGCTCTGACGATGCAATGGTTAGTTTAAAGACAGCGCTGGTCAAACCTTTTGGGATTGTTAAACTGCAATAAAATCCTTGTTTCTACACTATAAACCCCAATGTGCCATAGAAACAAACACATTTCTGTATCTGCTACTTTTAAACTCTAATTCAGTGCCAAAATATTATGATGTGTAAAGATATATGTGAGTTGAGCTAAAACAGGCAGAAATTGACGAATATTGGTTTCTGTTCACTTAAAAGATTCCGATGCAGATGTAAATCTATAAGTCTAATATTAAGATTGATAAATTAAATGATAAAATATTGGGTTCTGTGCCGAGAGGTTAAGACGGAGATGATTTAACTTTAACTTTAGTCAACATCTAGTGTTCAAACTATAAGATGTACAATATACAGTGGAATTTATTCAAAATATTTTATTCCCTGTGGGCCATGGTTTAAAGGTTTTGTTCCAAACAACAATAAAAGCTATGACATGATATTAATAACTGATAACATCACCCCCTGTGATGTTTGGTCATGCAGATAGTTTCAGCTTCATTTGCTGCAGTTTTGAGAAGTGACACTTCCCTTAGAATTACAGTTCAAAGCATTAAAATGACGTTTGAAAACTCATAATAATTTAGTTTTTCTACAATTCACACTTTAAATGATGAAGTCACTCTCACGTGACAAGTCAAACACTGACAATAAGGACGATCTCGGGTGGAACAAAACTGTAATAATTTCCTCTAAAAATGAATGTTTGAATTGAAATCAAACACTAAGTTTGTTTACAAGATATTTAGGCTGATCCATAGAGGGAACCATAACATGCATCCCAGTTATGATCTAAGATGTGTTGTTGTGCTGTTTGGTTAAACTGAGCCTTGCATTACTGCACATTGACATGAACAGAGTGTGTGAAGTTGACTTGTTGTTGTTGTGTCTCAGGCTGGCTGGCTCGGTACAGAGAGCTGGCTCATTACTTCGCTCTGCTCTGCTTTGTGCTCGTCATCGTCGCTCTGCTGCAGACTCTCTGCTGTGAGTACCTCCTCTTGCTTTTCACTTTTTAGATACTGACTATGATGTGGCAGCAGGTGCACGTTTTCATCGTGCGTGTTCATTTTTTGATCGGCCCATTTCATCCCCGGTAAACTCAATGAGCTGCACTTTAAAATGCATCACACCAACAAGTAATATATCGCTCCCAAATATGTTGTTTACAACCTTTTTACGTCTCAGTGTAGTTTTTAGATTTTAGTCACTCAAACAGGAGGAAATGGTGCAGTTGTTGGGGACTACTTTCAGCAGCGGATGAGTATTTGTGTGTGTTTGTGGCAGCGGGACGGTGTGTGTGTGACTGAGTCAAAATAAACTACAGTGTGTGTGTGTGTGTGTGTGTGTGTTCATGGTGATGAAGAAACAACAGCGAGGCTCATTGAAGTGTTTTTAGACACCAGACAATGTTTATTAAATCGCATCACTGTTAGTTTTCGGTCTTTTCTTTGGATGTCTTGAAAATGGTATGTTTATATATTTTAAAGGCCATAAAAAAAATCCAGCATATTCTTTTCACATCATATTTCAGATTCTTCATTTGAAGGTTTACATTCTTCTGAATGGTGTTTCATTGTTTGTTTTACCTCTGTCAGTCTGCTTTGTTTTTTCTCCCAGACGCACCCTTTATTATGCTGTATTCATACAACGGGTGATGGGCCATAATTTGTCTGGTGTGTGTGTGTGTGTGTGTGCGTGCGTGCGTGCGTGCGTGCGTGTGTGTGTGTGTGTTTGATATCGCAGTGGTTCAGATCACCTCTGTGTTCCAGTCACAGTCGACCCTGCAGGAAACCAAACTGAGAGACGCGACTCACAGACTGGAGAAACTCAACCAGTCGTATCAGCTGCTGTTCTCCCAGTATCCAGCTCTGAACCAGTACTGCCCAGTGAGCAACACCACCACCGGGGGTACGCGCTGTGTAGGGGGGGGGACCCAGGAAGGTTTTGTCTGGTCCTCACTTCATGTCTGAGGGTTGAGACTTTTAGAGTTCAACTTACAGTTTCAGGTCTACGATATTCTTGTCTGTGTATCAACCGCTCACCCTGTATCACCTTGAACTCTTGGAGAAGACTGGTTTTCTCTCGTGGCTCCATGGGGAACGGAGAACCAAAGAACGGAGAAAGATCTTGATGAATTGAAGTAAATGTGGGGCTTTTATCAAAAGCCAAATTACAGCAAAACATCTGTTTACAACGTTACTCTCTCTTCACAAATCTCATTTCACTTCCCAAACACATGCATGTTCACGAAAACCACATTATTTAAAACACTTTGAACTGGTCTTACTGGTCATACGGAAGTGTTTTAAATAGTCATAGGCCGTTTTAAAACGCAGCCCACATTTACTTCACTTCATCAAGACTTTTATCAGTTTTTGTATTTAGTAATTGAAGGTAACACTGGGTGAGTAACTCTCAGACAAATGATCATTCTGTTGGTGAAGGTAAAGGTTTGGAGGTTCATCATTTAAGCAGAGTACAAATATGTTGATGTCTGTGTGTGTGAAAGAGAGAGAATCCAGAATTCAACTATTATACTTGTAAATAAAGTTTATTAGGTGTCGACCAATGTTAAAACAGCAGATATCAGCCTGTAGGCTTCATTCCAACCACAGCAGCAAGTTTGGTTTTTGTGACCTTTTATATATAAATTTCATGTCAAAGCAACCAAAGTAGCAGCTTCACAGGCTCTCAGTGAACTCTTATTCATTCATTCACGTATTCACTTATTCATTGAATGAATAAGTGTTTTTAAAAAATGGAACTTTACATTATTAAAAGTCCTGCAAATTGAATGCAGTTTTGGACAAAGATGTTAGTTTTAGTGTTTGCCGTTGTTGACTTGGCCAACATTTATACACAATTGTTTTTACATCCACAGACCCACATTAACACTTTCTTGACAGCGGATCACGTCTGTTTCACCACATGAACTACTTGGTTTAGCTGTTGTTTTTTACTGCATCAAATAAAGAAACAAAAGTACGAGGATGACCACAACTGAAAAACGGTTTGGCATTTTGCATCTGTGTTGACTGTTGAATGATTAAACAGAAGGAATTATTTGCAGGAGCCCGTTTGACCCCAGCAGCTCTGATTTGCATAGAGATTTGCAAAAGTACACAAACCACAAACAGCTGAAGTGTGACCATGTCGGCTGTTTTCATTTTGGATTCAGATAATAGGAGTTCTGTCAACTTCTGCTTCTGCAACTGAAACATAAACCGCCCGCTGTAGCGGACATTAAGGAGTCATTGTCATATTGATCACAATTCTGCATGTTTATTTATTTCAATCGAACACAAATAAACTAGTTCAAAACTACATTCATTGGAAAACATTCGATTTTTAAATCATTTTGTAATTCTTGTGTGAAAGGGACACATGGAACACAGCTGATTGTCCTTCTCTGCTTCTCACGCAGAGAGAGCGTGCCGGCCGTGTCCGGACGGCTGGACGCCTCAAGGACACAAATGTTTCCTGTTCAGTGCGGACAGGGCCGACTGGATCAGCAGCCAGTACCGCTGCCTGGCACTGGGTGGCGCTGTGGCCACAGTCAGGACAGAGGAGGAGCAGGTGAATACACTCACACACACGCACACACACTTTGTTTCTGCTCTGTCCCTTCAATTTCTACTTTCTATTACATATAGCATCCATTAAGTTCATTAAAAGTGTGTTTTTGTGTCATATTACACATAACATCAGTTGAAGCTTCTTTTCTTGGTGTTTAAGTGTCTCACGGGGAACTTCCTTGATGATATATTCTGTGTCTGTCAGCTTGTAAACATTTGAGATGCTTTCCCTGAAATATCAGCTGTTGGGCAACGTGCACAACACACACACACACACACACACACACACACACACACCAGCAGAGAGGGAAGTTAAGAATAGATCTAAGATCTCTATGAAATATGGAGACATCTGCATGTTGCAGCTCGAGGTCATCTCGGGTTTTGTCTTTGACTGTTTTACTGTAACTGTATCACAGTTGATGTCCTCTATGATATTCCCGCAGTGAGATGTCAGAGGTGAGGTGGTTTCGGGAGAAGAGGGGGAGGAATTTAAACCTTGTCTTCGTGGGTTTCGCAGGTGTTTCTGTGCAATAAGGCCCAGAGTCTGAGCCAGGGAGACTCGTACTGGCTGGGCCTCAGGAGCAGCGGTGGTGACGGAGGCTGGCAGTGGAGCGACGGCTCCCCGCTGGAGGGGGGACCGGGGTGAGCTGACGACAGGCGGGGGGGGAACGAGGCTCCTGAGGCTGATCTCTTGATCTCTATTCCTGTAGCATGAGACTTTGGTCACATGTGGCTGGAAACTTGAGATGAGAAGCAGTTAAAATGTTTATGATCCTGAGAAACATATTTATAAATAAGCACAAAATAGGCCGTTCCTCATAATCTAAATATTTAAATAGAAAATCAATAAAAACTGGAAGAAGCAAAGTTTACAAATTAGCTGACCTTGAAGGAAAGAATAACACAATAAAATACATAAATGAGAAATACGAAGAAGAGCAAGAAAAATGTCTTGAAACAGGAAACAAATGCGTAAATTTGTTAAAAGAAAATGTAACAACACGTCTTTTATGTGTGTGTGTGTGTGTGTGTGTGTGGGTGTGTGTGTGTGGGTGTGTGTAGGTGTGTGTGTGTGTGTGTGTGTGTGTGGGTGGGTGGGTGTAGGTGTGTGTGTGTGTGTGTGTGTGGAGGTTATTCTTTAACTGTTTCCTTCTATTTTCATCAGGATCTAGTTCATAATATCAGCAGCATCCTCTCACTTTGCACATAATGTGATTAAATGTGCCTCTCTGAGGGGATTGGGAGAAAGTGGGCGGCTGTTTTAATTTCATGATTTGCATCTTTTGTGTGGAGTAGTGGTCGCCATGGTAAAGCCTGTGTTTTTGTGTTGTTGTTTTTGTTGTTGTTGTTTGTTCCTCCCTGCAGGTTTTGGGAGCATGAGCCCGATAAAACAGACGGCGGGGAGCTGTGTGGTCGACTCACCCCAGGACACGACTACAGGAGGACCTGGTTCACCTACAGATGCTCCAACCTGCTGAGGAGGATCTGTGAGAGGAGGCAAGCTAGTCTGCACTGAGAGAGGAGAGGAGAGGAGGAGAGGAGGAGAGGAGAGGAGGCAAGCTAGTCTGCACTGAGAG